GTTCTGCCCTCAGGTGCTTTGGAAAATAGCCTGACTCCCTCTTCTTTGTGGCAACCCCTGAAATATTGGAACACTGCTATCATGTCTCCCCCAGTCTTTCTTTTCATTAAACTAGATGTACCCAGTTCCTGCAACCGTTCTTCATATGTTTTCGCCTTTAGTCCCCTAATCATATTTGTTGCTCTTCTTTGCACTCTTTCTAGAGTCTCCACATCTTTTCAACATGGTGGCGACCAAAACTGAATGCAGTATTCCAAGTGTGGCCTTACCTAGGCATTATAAAGTGGTATTAACATTTCCCGTGATCTTGATTCTATCCCTCTGTTTATGTAGCCTAGAACTGTGTTGGCTTTTTCTAAAACTTTCTTTCCAAAGAAGCTTAGACTCAAAAGGTTCCTTCCATTTTCTTGCTTCTTTGCTTTCTTAGTTTTTTTTTTTAAGATTCAACTTCCCACCTCCCATTGCTTTGGGTACCATCAGCTCACCTCTCCATAAGGATAGAGTTCCATAACAATCCATGTTGGTTCCTCCTCCGTGATACCAATCAGTTTCACAATGTGGGGATGGTCCATCTTTTTCATGAGCACTGTAGGTACATTGGAGTTAATCTTGACACACGGCCCATTTTCATTTTCAGCCCTGATTTCAGAGATCCTCCGAGAACATATCTTATTCTTAAGAGATGTGCTAGCTTCAGTTTACCTCCACAGCATGATTAATGCTCTCCTCCCTTCTATCTAATTACAAATTATTTTGGAATCCTTCGTTTCACATTAATGACCATTGCCAAGCTCCTTTCCTTTTCTTCTATTTGTCGAAGTTGCTATACTCAATCAATTCAATTAATAGCATTTTTATGATGCCCGGTAATATTACTCTCTTATTTAGTTTGAAAAGCCTATTTTCACTGATTTAAAAATCAAGGGCACTTATCCAATTAAGCATTTACTTGAAAATAAAATTGTTCTACAGTTGGTGCGATAGAACAGACCTTAGGGAAGCAGAGGATGGAACATGACAATTACAAATTGAAGCAAGCCCAGCAAAGCTCGGCAAGTTCAGGAAACAAGAACTGCTAAATTTGTGGAAAGGTTCTTATTACCAGTATTGTAATAGAATCTTGAAAGCCTGTCAAAGCAGTTGTCCAGCTCAACTTATGCCAGCATAATTAAGGAATAACTCTTTCTTGTATCTCCCCCCCCCCCTCTGGACTTGGGAATCTTTTCTATAACTGCTTTGTTTTCTCTTGTAACTGTTGTGCTGCCTCCTCTGCTTTTTCTTGTAAGCTGTAGAATTGCAGATTTGGTGCATACTGTTTGTTACTTTGACAGACAAGTACACTGAACCTAAGATAAACTCATTCCTCACTAGACATTTAATTTGGAGACTGCATGGGGAAGAGAGCAACATTTTTAAATATGGCAACTCTAAAAGCTCATCCTGAGAAAATTTGAAGAAATCACATCCAGAGAAGCTGCCTCTTCCCACAACTACTGCCAATGCACCATTCAGTCACTGCTGTTGTGGCACCGCACCAGATGTGGGAGGAAATGGCATGTTAGTGCACATGTTCACAGAAAGAGGGAGTCTACGTACTTGCTTCACTCATGAATTTCTCCTTGTTCTCAGCAGTGCAATCTTTCTTGCAGGTTTTCACAGCAACACTAACCCGCTCTCCACTCTGAAAGAAGAGGGTGATCCCAATATTAAAAAGGGAAGGGAGAAGGAGAAGAAGAAGAAGGAGGAGGAGGAGGAGGAGGAGAAGAAGAAGAAGAAGAAGAAGAAGAAGAAGAAGAAGAAGAAGAAGAAGAAGAAGAAGAAGAAGAAGAAGAAGGGGAGGAGGGGAGGAGGGGGA